AGTTCGTCCATTACGTGGAAGCGCCATTGACATTCATCCAAATGCTCGTTGGGAACAGAATGGTGTCACTGTCGCTGGCGGAAATGGAGATGGCACTGGAACTAATCAACTCAAGAATCCATATGGTTTGTTTGTTGATGATGAACAAATAATTTATGTCGCTGATCAAGCGAATCATCGTATTGTGGAATGGAAAAGAGGTGCGACAAATGGTCAAGTAGTTGCCGGTGGAAATGGAGTAGGAAGCGAGGCTCATCAATTGGCTTATCCACTGGATGTGATTGTTGACAAAGAGATAGATAGTCTCATTATCTGCGATTATGCGAATAGAAGAGTGGTTCGATGGCCTCGTCGAAATGGGACAAGTGGAGAAACAATCATCTCCAACATCGATTGTTGGGGTTTGACAATGGACGAGAATGGATCTCTCTATATCGCTGACTTTGGAAAAAATGAAGTGAGACGATATCGAAGAGGAGAATCGGAAGGAACAGTGGTTGCAGGTGGCAATGGAAGTGGATATCGTTTCAATCAACTCGATGGCCCACAATACGTATTCGTCGATCGAAATCAATCAGTCTATATATCTGATTGGAATAATCATCGTGTGATGAAATGGATGGAAGGTGCAACACAAGGCATTATCGTGGCTGGTGGTGAAGGACAAGGAAATAGTCTTACAAAATTGTCATATCCTCGAGGAGTCGTTGTCGATCAATTAGGCACTGTCTATGTGACTGAGACAGGAAATAATCGATTCATGCGTTGGCCCAAAGGAGCTACAGAAGCAAGTGTCATTGTTGGTGGAAACGGTGTAGGAGAACAATCGAATCAACTCTATTGGCCCTTCGGTTTGTCATTCGATCGGCATGGCAATCTCTATGTCGTCGATACCAATAATCATCGAGTACAAAAATTTAACATTGTCTCAAATGCTTAAAACACTATGCGAATGCTATTTTTTCTTTGCTGCTCAATAAATGCGGTTCGATTGCTTTATACTCTCGTTTCTACTGTATTCACGCACGCGTGCGCAACCTCGAACTATCTGACAACGTTCCTAGCCGGTGTTTTCGCGGCCAATTCGGAAAACCTGATAAGGTTTTATATATGAGAAATTTAAAAATCTGACTCCATGATGACCTAGCCCTACATATCTCCTGTATAATAAAAAAAACTATCACTTCCATGTCGAGTCGCTATGGAGAAAAACCTGTCCGCGTAAATTGCATTCACGAAAAAATTGATTTTGAGAAAAACAAAAAATAAGTATTAGAAATCGATTTTACCGAAAAAACACCTGATTTATATATCAGTGTTCAAGACAGACTGTAAATATATGATCTCAATATTAAGTTTTAATAGTTTCATAGTGATTAGTATAAAAAATACTTTACGAAATGTTGATGCAAAGAGAAAGGACCCTAAAAGATCAAAAAAAGGTGTGGGTGTGGGTGTGGGTGTGGGTGTGGGTGTGGGTGTGGGTGTGGGTGTGGGTGTAGGTATGGGTGTGGGTGTGTATAGTCACATTTTCGGAACTGAATACCCACCAACAACTGCATTCGTACCCACACCCACACCCGCACCCCACACCCTGGTCTAGGGGTGCACCAAATCCAAATCCAGTCAAACCCAAATCCTGGATTTGACAGGATTTGACAGGATTTGACTAGATTTGGATTTGGGTTTGACTGGATTTGACTTAGATTTGGATTTGATTGGGTTTGGGTTTGACTTGGATTTGACTATATATACCTTCCACAAAGACTGCAGTTTTTCGGTAACAAAACTCGCCAAAACTGGTCAAATCTTCGTGTCCATTAGACGCAGTTTTCTTCGCTCTATCCAATGGTGGAATTAGTTTTAGCCTACTCTTCCAAAAGGTTTCAAAATTTGACAGATTTTTATGCAAATTCTTGATTTTTATACACGTTTTTGACCAAACTCTGTCAAATCTTGACACCTTTTGAAAGAGTAGACTAAAACT